TAGATTTAAGACTTTGAATTCAAATTCTAAATCCCAAAAATGAAACCTCTAGCTACCTTCTATTGTTATTTCATCGATTATTAGCTTATCAAAGGGTAAGAATTTCCATCTAATTGTTTTACATTGTGTTGCATTTCATAATGTAATAGAGGGTAAAGTCATAAAAGAGAAGGTGAGATATGAAAAATGACAGTGAATTACTTCAAATAATAAGAAAATTAACCAAAAAGTGAAAATCGCGAAGGAAGAAAGAGAGGAGTAAGGGTGGATGTGGTTTGGTAACATCAATTTTTGGGGAAAACCGCAAACTGCTCAAGTATTTGCGGTAAGGCTTATTTTGGGACCACAAACCGGCCGAGTTTTTGCGGTTAACCGTATCTCGTGAAACCGCAAATTAGTCGGTGTCCGTAAAAAATGCGGTTTTCTCCGATTGGGCAGTTTTGGTCCTAAATTTCAACATTTTACGTCTATTTAAATTGGGTTTTTTGGGTCAAAAAATATAATCTTTTTCATACTTTGTAGGCCTAATTTTTAAGCTTATTTTGAAACCTTTTGAGTCCAAACATTTTAACTTTACAAATTTAAGCAAATAAACTCACAACCCAAATAAGCAAATTTAAATCCGAGCAAATAAAGTTAAAATATAGTTACAACCCAAAAGAAAAATGCAATGCAAATTTAATTAAAGTTACAATCCAAACGAAAAATGCAATGCAAATTTAAAGTTACAACCCAAATGAAAAACGCAATGCAAATTTAATTAAAGTTACAATCCAAAAGAAAAATGTAATGCAAATTTAATTAAAGTTATAAAACATAGAGAACTCAAATGTTGGTGGTAAGTGGATTTGAAGGACTCGGTTGTATATGGCCACCATCTACAAATAAAACAATACAAGTTCAGTAAAAAAAAATTCGAAAATTTGCATAAAAACCAGCTGACCTTTTAAGCATGTGCACAATTACCACCTGAACTTTTAATTTTTACTATTAACCACTTGAACTCTATAGAGTGTAGCGATGTACCACCTCTGTCTAACTCCATTTAACTTTACGTTAAATTTAAGGGCATTTTTGTCAATTCTATTTAACTAAAAACACATAAGAAAAATTAAAACTAACATAATTATATATATATAACTTAACCTAATTATCCCACAACTTCCCCACCCTTCCAATTCTCCCCCAGTGCCCAGTAGATCCCTCCCCCACTCTCTCTCCATCGAATAAAAATAATAATTTTTTAAAAAAAAGGATTTGGAGATCCTAATGTTTGGAATTTGTTTTGGCAATTCCAGCTTACTACAATTAATTCTTGGCATTTTGGGATATCTAGTAAGACTAGTATATGGTAGCAGGAAGCCAACTAATTCATTCCCAAAGGCTCATAATAAAACTTAAAAGTTCATATGGTAATTCCGCACTGACCTAAAAGTTCAGGTGGTATTTATGAAATTTCCCAAAAAACATTATAAGAAGCATAAAGAACGTGAAAATAATAAACTAAAAGTTGTAACATGTTCCATTTCCTTGTAGAATTCAATCTCATCATCCGTGAGTTCCTTATAAAATGAAAATTCTTCCGCCCTAAACCAATCACAAGTACACACTAATGTCTCTACCATTTTAGGATGCAATTAGCTTCTAAAAGAATCCACAATCCTTTTGCCTAGGCTAAGAGCATCTCACTAGCAATCGTAGAACTTGGAATTCCAAAGATATCCTTAGCAACTTGTGAAATAATTGGATAACTTGTTTGGCTCCCTTTCCACCAATTCAAGATATTGAATTGTTTGCTCAAGGGGCTCTCAAAAGGATCTGCTAAGTACTTATCCACTTCATTGGATATCTCAACGGATTGCTCATCCTTCCTTCTTTGCACAAGTTGTTGCATTAGTTGAAATGTGGCATCAACATCCTCACCAATTTGTGCAAACTCATCCTCATCAATTTGGTTCACAACACCATCTCCAACCCCTTCATGCTCATTATACAAATCATTCAAACACTTTACAACCTCATTAACAATCTCATCTTGCTTTCTAGCATCCGCCCCAAGATTGCCAAAGCTTATTTGGAGCATTTGAAGCTTCGTCATTGGGTATAGCACATTGCCCAAAAATATAAGCTTATTCACAACCTCAAAGCTCCTCCAATATTTGTCAAATTTCAACTTCATTGAATATGCTACCCGTTGCATAGTAGGATTTCTAAGATCCTTCATTTTCGTTTCTATTAGAACTTGTAACCCAACCAATTCTAGGAAAATTATTATGGATGTACAAGTTTTGGTGCACTAAACTTCAATGTAACATCATAAAACTTTTTGAGAAAATGCACAAAAGCTAATGCCTTCTCCTAATCATCATTATTTGGAGGTCCCACTCTCTTAACCATCACTTTCTTAACCTTCTCTTCCTCTAGAAAGTAAGCTTGAAACTCTTCACAATCATAGGACATCCTCTTAAAGACTTTCCTTGAATGCACACCTTCAAGCTCTTTGTAGATTGCATTCCACCTTGTAGGCACATTTGCCATCTTATCCATCCTACATGCAATGGCAAACCCTCTAAACTTTTCCAATCTCACCAGAGAAGAGTGAATAAACTTCACACAATTTCTTATACCCTCAATTGAGGCACTAAGCTCCTTCAACCCATTCTTAACAATTAAGTTAAGAATGTGGCAAGCACATCTCAAGTGAAAGTACTTCTCATCCAACATTAAGTATTCATTGCCTTTAGGCTTTGTGCCATGTACTCAACTACCCCATCATTGGCGGAAGCATTATCAATAGTAATTGTGAACACCTTGTGTATACCCCCAATCCGTCAAACATACATCTAGGATTTTCCCTATGTCAATACCCTTGTGACTAGTGATCTTCGTGAAGCTAATTATTCTTTTATGCAAGTTTCAATCACTATCCATCAAGTGAACTATCACAACCATGTAATTTATGTTTTGGATCGATGTCCAAGTATCGGTTGTAATACTAACTCTTTGCTCATTATCTTTGCCTTTTCAAACATGTATAACTCCCACACCCCCTCGGCAACCTTCTTCTTACTTGGTACCTTCAACCGAAGTTGCACCTCATACATCATTTCCTTAAAACCCGAGCCCTCAACGACTCTAAAAGGATGCTCATCCTTAATGATGAACCTCACAATCTTTAACTCACTCTTTTTTTTTTAATTAAATGTGTGATGGACCAATCCACTACCCATTGTATCCGAAGTCAAGGTAGGTTGATTTGCATCACCTTGTTGATATAGAGGAGAGAGCTTGCATCTCCTCTCTCTGTGACTTTTCAAACCCATTGTCCCATTTTTTCTAGGGTCCACGGGCATCTCCAATTTGCAATCATTGCAAACCCCTATAACTTCTCTACCTGATTACCATCATTCTTTATTTGTTTTGTGCAATGTAACCACACCTTCAATTTTTAGGTTTTCCTCCTATCTCCCACAATAATCCCCTTGTGTGTGGGATGTTGTGTTTGAGTTGGAGGTTGTGTTTCTGGTGTTTCGGTTTGTGTTTGGGGATTAGAGGTATTAGATGTATTAGATGTGTTAGAGTGGCTAGACTCCATCTATTAAACACAACACAACAAGAACAACATAGAAGTATATTAATATATTAAAACATAATCAAATTAAAACACAAAACAACAAATTAAACTAAAAAAACAGAAACCAAATCAATTGAAAATCATAATTTCCAATTCGGAGCCCTAATCCCTCAAAATTAGCCTAAACAATGTAAACATAATCAAATTAAAGGTCGAAAGCAAAATCAATTCAATTGAACTATTTAATTAACCCTAAACAACCTAAATTCCGTCAAATTAAACTCAAAAATAGCCCAACGTAATCAAATTATACTTTATAAACAGAATCTATTCAATTCACATTTTAAAACATATCCAATCAAATCACATTAACCCTAAACCCTCAATACCGATCAATTCACAATTTTATTAACCCTAAAACATATCCTAAACATAATTAACAAATTATTTATTAACATAATGAACAAAACATAATTGCTAGATTAAACTATAAGTCAAAGTTCAAAGTTTCAAAGTTCAATTTCAGAAATTGGGTAAAAAGTTTACCTGAAGAGGAGGAGATAACAATGCAGAGACGATGATGAGCAATAGAGAGAGGCGGCGAGGTTGATGAGTGTCCCTCCGAAAAGAAGAGACGACACATAGAAAGACTGAGATGAGAGACTAGAGAGAGACTGAGACGAGGCGGTGAGGTGGACTAAGAGACTGAGAGCGGCGACGATGATGAGTGATTGAGAGAGGCGGTGACGATAGCTGTTAGTGAATATAAAATATTTATAAATATTTAATTACACTATTTGCAGTATACCGCAAAATTGAGATTTTCATAATCGCATCGACACAGTACGGTCGGTTCAAAAAACAACAAATTGCGGTCGATTTTGCTGCAATGACGGTTTGATTGCAGTGAATAGTCGGCCGATAACTGCGGTTTTGCGGTATATCGGTCTAAAATGTCAGCCCTATAGAGGAGAGGAGAGGAGAGGGAGAAGAACAATGGCTTCCTCCACGTCAAAGTGAAAACAGCGCTAAGAGTGTTTTCAGGAAGAGAGAGGGCTTAGGATTTTGTTTTCCTCACCATTGGTAACAAGGTGAGATGTTTTCTAAAATAAAAAAATAGGGAAGGTGAGACATGGAAGATGGGATGAGAGTGAATTACTTGAAACAATAAGAAAATTAAAGCACAAGTAATAATCAATTGAAAGTATATTATTTTTAGCTTTTATGGTAAATATTAAAAAATTTGTATTCATTTTTTTTACTCTTGATGCTGGTAAAATTTGTGCAAAATGTTCTGAATGAATTCCTATTTACCAAAGTTACTTTTGTGGATAATGTTTCTCAATTAGTAAATAAGATCCCAAAGAAAATGAAAAAAGGACAAAAAATAAAATAGCGTAGGATACAGATTACATTCGAGAAGGTTACGGAAAGCGTGTAAGTGCTGGAGTGTTCGGTGAGAGCGTGGGAACAATTTTAAATACGTGTCCGATTCGGTAAATTCCCATCCCAAATCAAAATCAAAGCAAAGCGAAGCAACGCGGTGGTGGATTTTGATCCCTCTGCAGCGGAGGCAGACGAAGGAGGAGACAAAAACTGAGAAATTGAGAGAGAAGACAAAGATGGCTGCGAACCCTCAACTGTTCCCTAATGGCATGCCTGTTCCTTTTGTGAACGAGATGTTCGTTCTCGCCAGAGACGGCGTCGAGTTCGAGGTCGATAAGATTCCTGGGTTCGTTCTCACTTCTCATTTCCCTTCTCCTCAATCATCTTCATCATCATTCAATTTTCCATATTCTCTTAAAAGTTTGATTTAATTGATGCCTCTCTTTCTCTTTGAACCATGGCCTTGCGCTTTAATTTGATTTTGCCAACACTAATTCATTCATTCATTCATTCTGCTCTTTCAGTACCCAATTTGAATAAATAAAAATTATGGGGTATTGATTTGAAATTTTATTGAATGTATGCCCAAAATCGTAGCTTGATTGATTTGTGTTGGGAGGGTGCAAGAATAAAAATGAGTAAATTGTTAATTTAATCCCATTTCCTGTTCTATTGGAGTGGGAAGATAGCAGTGTAGCAATTGCATAATTTGGTGTTGAATTGTGTATTGCCTTCGACTTTCAGATCTGATGGTGGTCGACTTAAAGCAAAGGGGACAATCTACTTGTCAAATATACGCATGGTCTTTGTTTCAAACAAGCCTGTTGGAAACTTTATTGCTTTTGATATGCCCCTGGTATGTGATACTTAGTTGTACCTCAACATTGCTTTCCTTCCATCGTTATTTTGCTTTATCTTTGAGAGGTTCACTTGTAACTGAGTCAACTCGCAAAGTTTCTTTGCACCTAATGATTCTTCTGTAACCCTTTTTGTGTGATTGTGGGGTTTCCATGACTTGTGGTTTTGATTTCCTGCAAAGTGAATGTATCTTGACCAAAGCTTCTGACTTTTATTTTGACGCCAAAATATGTTAACAAAGGAAGTTTTAACATTTATTGTTCTCTGGTGTAAGTCTCTGGACTTTTGTTCTTATTTTAATTGTGATTTTAACTGTGGAAGGTGGTCTCAAGAAGAGATTGGGATATTTTTCCTACGATAGATTTAGCATGTACACATGGGAAATGTTCAGGGTAAAAAAAAAATAGATTTTAGGTTAAGATTAGAGTATTGTGAGCTACATTCAGACTTTGTTTATGTCAAATACTTGTATTTGATGTTACTTCTGAGTTCTTCTTTCCCTTTTATTATAAGTGTGATTTAGATGAACTTTAATATATGTTACTTTGGGCTATTTCACATAGTTTGTAAAATCCTTGATACGATCTTATGATTGGATCTCAAGTGCTCTCTTGTGGATCTTAGGTAGGATCCTGATTTTGAAAACCCGGCATCTAACTTCCATTATCTAACAAAGAGTAATTCAAAATTATAATAAATTTAATCAACCTTTTATGTCACAATTTTGTCACAAACCTACAGCCAGCCATGATCCACCACTACAGCAATCCTAATTTTCCCAGTGAATCACTTTTATCCCACAGCAGTAATTTGCCACTATTTCTAACGACCGTTGGATATTATCCTATCCAACAGTTGCTGGGTTTCAGGTGCTCACTGGTTCCTAATTCTAGGGGCTCAGGTGAGTGCTGTTATTATTATGTGTAAGGCTAAAAAGTGCCGTGTCTGTGATGATCGGCTTGCTTGTTTGAAGTTTGTAAGGATTCTTTTGTCTTGGTGCAGTTTTGGCACAAATTTGATGTCTTTTGCTGTCGCTCTTTTATATCCATTTATTTGCATCTCACTGACCTTTGTGTTGATTCATTCTTCAGCTTTATGTCCATGGTGAAAAGTTCAATCAACCAATTTTTTTCTGCAACAACATTTCTGGTCAAGTGGAGCCTGTAAGTATATCGGTTAGAGGATTTCAATTATTGTACATAAACCCATTTATGATTTTGGAGATCTTATTTTTCTTGATGACTAATTTTAGGTAGTTCCAGAAAATCAGCATGGGGCTCTTTATTCCACTCACTCATTCAAGATTTTGTTCAAAGAAGGGGGTTGTGGAACGTTTGTTCCGCTGTTTTTCAACTTGATCTCCTCAGTGAGACAATATAATCAACATCAACACCCCAATGCAGGACCACAGCCTCATGTTGATCCTTTACAGGCAGCGCAAACTCCTGTTGATGAGATGATGAGACATGCGTAAGTGACATATCTTGCACATAATTGCCATGTGTGCTTGTAGTCAAATGGATTTAGAGAAGGATCGCTGGTTAAACTATGATTTTTTATTTTGCAGGTATGTCGATCCTAATGATCCAACAAGGATCTTCTTGCAGCAGCCTACTCCAGAGTCTCAGCTGAGGCGGCGCACATACCAGTCACAGCCCGCAGGACAGTAAATGTAGTTTTAATTATAAATAAACGTACATGTTATAAGAACCTCCAAAAGCGTGTGTGTAACTGAATTATAGAAGTCTGTTTCTACTTGTATATTCACTGAGATGTCTATTTACTCTTTTATTGTGAAGAAGAATCCGTTGAATCTTTCACTGTGGATGGATTACATTTTGGCCTTGAATATGCGATTCAGAATATGGTGCAAGCCATACATGGCATGGCACGATTTTATGCTTCACAAGTGTAAAATATACAATTTTCAAAGCCTCAACCATTCAATTAGGAAGACAGACGCAGGGAGCTCCTTTTGAGCCACAACTGGTATGCAGTCATGTAGAAAGAGTCGTAGCCCTTGGGAGTCTCATGCCAAACAAAATGCCTACGAACTTTACACAAATTATGGTACATGCTCATGTACTTTCGTCTTGTTATCGACAACAATGTCCTCTTCAACAAGGCAACATCGCCATTGTTGACAATAACTGAAAACTTGCTCCAGTCCAATACATTGGCAAATGGAAGCTCGTAGTGGTTGGAAATTATAACAGGAATGCACCCATAATGTATGGCATCGCTCACTCTGGCAGTGTTGACCTCATAGCCTTTAACATGGAGGCAATACTTGCTCCTCCTAAACCCCTCCTCATAAGGGTAAGATGGTTGACTTGGGAATATATCCATGTATGTGTCATTGCCCCATAAATCTACCAGCTGCTGCCGGATATTAGAGTTTTGAATTCGCCCTGCAAAGTACACAAGCTTATCCCTGCATCCGGAAAAATATCACACATTACGTTATGTTGTTAAACTGCGAATCTAGGCAATCCAAAAATAAAATATATCAACTAAAATGTTGGATTACAAATACAAATCTCAATTGAGGAAAGTGCGTGATTTATACCTGGCATGTGGGGGGTTGAGGGCATGCTGAGGAGGACGAGGCCAAACTTGGGGCAAGGCAACATCTTTGTGGGTAACATAGAATCTTTGGAAGTAGCTGGAGGAGCAAGTGAGCTGAATGGCATTGTTGCGCAACCCAAAATGTTTGGAGGAGGCCTCTCGACAAACAGAGTGACAGCAGGCATAGAAATGGTCAGAGCCTAGAGAGGCATTCCAGAAGGGCAAATCTTGGCTGATGCTGGTGGTGTATCGGGCAACAAAATCTGCAATGGACGGCTCAGAATGGACACGTGGGTCATTTCTGAGGAGATTGACTGAGAAGGGTAGGAAGAAGAGATGGGCTTTTTCTGGGTTGGTGGTGATGAGGGAGCTGCTAAGCAGAGACAGCTTGAACATGTGCTCGCTGAAGTAGTTTCCGAGTATTGGGTCGAATGGGTTTGGGTGGGGAAGGAAAATGGAAGCAGAGGAAGCAAAAGAAGAAGAAGCAGAATTGGTGGGATAAACATAAATCTTGAAGCTTTGGATCATGTCTTCAAAGTCAGCAGCAAAGAGCTGCCAGTTGTGGTAAGGACCTGAATCTACAGGAAGAGTGATGTGTGGTGTGGGAGGAGAAGCTGAGAGACGACCCAAATTGGAAGGGCTGCCTTGTTCTTCTGACGAATGGAGGAGAAAGATGGCCAACCATGAAGCTGAAGAGACTGCCAGCAGCAGCAGCACGGTCAGGAGCAGCCGGCGTTTGAGTTTAGGCATTTTGTTCAGAAATAAGCACACAGGCTTCATCTTTGGCTCTCGTCTGTCGATCCAGACTTTCTGCTAGCATAGAGAAGCTCGCTGACTGGTCACAAACCGACGATACATAATGCAAAGGATTATTAAAAAAACATAAAATCCACCTTTGTAAAATTACAAAGGGTAAACTACAATAAACCCCCAAGTCTATAGGGTCATTTACGAGTACATACTCGATTTTGGGGACATTTATGAGTACATATTGAACGTCACGGAAAACCTATAATTTGCCCCTTCCGTTAATCAAACTGTTAGTGAGTCTGTTAAATGATGATCTGTCAAAAGTAGGACCCTTTTTTTTTATGACATGGACTTCCACGTGGTCTAAAAATTAATAAAAAAATTTATTTTACTGTTTAAAGTATTTATTATTGTTAAATTAATTCAAATTTTAAACAGCAAAATAAAAATATAAAAATAAAAATTTGGCAAAAATCAAAAGAAAAAAAAATTTATCTTCGTCTGTTTCTCTTCCCAACCTCAACCCCCTCCCTCCGTGCACACCGCCTTCAAAGCCATCACCACCGACCTCGTTGTCGTTGTATAGAACCGAGGGCAAGATCTTCGTCTTCATCAACTGCCTCTCCCCTTCCCACCTCCCCTAACACCAAAACCCAGCAGCCCCCACCCCTTACCCACCACCTCACCTCTGGGTCCAAGTTCTGGGAAGGGTAGAGATGGAATCGAGACCTTGAGCTCCTTTCTCCTCCGTTGACATACAAAGATTCTTGAATTTTTGGCTAAAAAGAAGTTCATATGCAAGAGTACTAAACTGGCATACAAAGATTGTTTTCTCCAAACAGAAAGATCTTAAAATAAAAACAACAAACCAGCAACAATTTCACACAGAGATGGAGAGAGAGAGAGAGAGTTCAGCCAATAATTTCACAAATGAGCAAATGTTTTCTCCAAACTGGCTAATAATGTTAACCAGCAAATAATTGCAAAACCGAGAAATTTTTTTCTCAAAATTAGCCAATAAAATACTTCAGCCATTATAAATTCATAAAAATTAAATATTTTATAAAGAAAAACTTAAGAACAGGAACAGAGAGAGAGAGAGAGAGAGAGAGAGAGAGAGAGAGATGGCCTTTGAACGTAGAGAGGGCTTCCAGAATCCTCCCAGGACCTGCAAAAGTCGGTCTTGCACATAATCTTCCTCGAAGAATCTGAAGATGATGAAGATGATGACTTACCAAGGCATCCTCCAAGGATCTCGTGAAGGGGTCTTTGTCTTGATAACTCATATATTTATACATTTATACCATCCATTTCTAGTCTATTTGTGATGTTTTTGAGTTAAACATGTTGCGTTTTACCCTATTTTGTGTTAGTATGCAGTTGCACCTACTTTAGGATCAAGTTGAAGGCAAAAGAAATCAAAACATGTCATTTTTGGAGCTGGCCACTATTCAAACGTGGAAAGAAATTTCGTGACCTGTTTTGAAGTCCAAATAAAGATCCAAAGTGAACCTGGCTTGTTTAAAGACTAAGAGCGGAATGGGAAAGTAATGGGGATTTCTAGCCTGATTTGGAGGTGCCAGATAAGGCAAAAACGTGCAAAATAAAGGCTGATTTATTAGTATCTCTTTGGAATATCTGACAGCCTCTTTTACCCCATAAAAACTTGCCTTTTAGCCACTTTCACAGACCTTATTTATTTTGGACGAATTTCACAACCCTAGACATCCTTCTTTTTGTTATTCTCCCCTTTCATACACACTAAAACCCTAGCCGTTCCATATATTTCCACCATCAGGACTCATCGCAGGAGGCTGTTCTTGGAGAAGTTCAACATCAGAATTGGTTCAAGGGTTTCCTCTCATGAATTTATTTTCACTCATGTTGTTTATTTTCGTTTTAATCTTTGTGAACATGATGTGTAACTAAATTCATAGCTAGGGATTTCGATGTAGCCTTGCAACATTGATCCATGTTTCTAAGTTAAAGTATTCAGTTCATCAATCTGTTTCTTGTTTCATTCACTGAATCTATTGTTAAATTTGTTTGTCAATTTTAATGTTTGATCACTATTAGGGTTGCCTACAGATTATCTAGTCAAGGTTATTGTAAACATCATGCTTAATCTTGGTAGACATGTGAATGAATGAAGAGAATGCTATGCAAACATCCTGCCATGTGTTTTCTTTGGTTCTTTAACGTTTTCTTGCATGGTAATGACTCTTAACTTGGAACCAAAGTTGAACATCCCGATTAGGTTGCATATTAGGAGAATTTGATCAAAACCACACATCATATGGCTGATCATATATATGTAAAACGAACTCTGGAAACAGGTTGGTAGTTGAATACGGTTTAATTTTATAAACATGGAATTGGTTTTGCAATGGTGAATTCGAAATCCCTGGTCTCATCCCTATTCTTCTTACATCAATATCTCATTCGCTGCTACATTCGTCTTGCATTTTAAGTTATCTTTCATTTACAACACAAACTACTCTCAATTTGTTACTTTCACTTTTAGTTAGGGTTCTTTCAAAACTAGTAATTTATAGAGGTCCAATCGGTCCCTGTGGTTCGACACCCTTACTTGTACCATTATACTAACCATATATTGGCACTTGGAAGGAACACAACATGTCTATTGAACAATCTTTCAGAATCTACAGATGAACCCATTTGATTCAGAGCCAAGAATCACAGCCTGCAATCCAGTTCAGATCTCTTAGACCCAAAAAAGATGTGGCTTTTAGTCTGAGAATTTAGGTTTGTGCTGGAAATGCATCACCGCCATTCTCAATTTCTCATCTTCTCGATCTATGAGGGGCAGAGACGGAAGCGAGAGGGCTGATCGATTTTGTACAAGGTCGTGGTGAGGTTGGCGCAGTTGATGAGGACGGAGATCTTACCCTTGGTTCTATACAACGACAATAAGGTGGGTGGCGATGGCTTTGAAGGCGGTGTGCACGAAGGAAGGGTGGGTTGGTGGGGTGTGGGAAGAGAAAAAGACGAAGATAAATTTTTTCTTTTCATTTTTGCCAAATTTTTATTTTTATTTTTAATTTTGCTTTTAAAAATTTGAATTAGTTTAACAACAATAAATAATTCAAACAATTAATTAATTTTTTATTAATTTTTGGTCCACGTGGAAGTCCACATCATCAAAAAAATGGGTCTCACTTTTGACAAATCATCATGTAACGGACTCACTAACATTTTAGCTAATAGAGGGGGCAAATTGTAGATTTTTTGCGGTGTTGAGTATGTACTCATAAATGTCCCCAAAATCGGGTATGCACTCGTAAATGACCCTATAAGTTGAGGGGTTTACTGTAGTTTGTCCAATTACAAAACAGGGCATTCATTTGTTTTTAATTGACACCTTCAAAGATTTGGTTTACACATGAATTTATTAACTTAAATATGAATCTCTATTAACTGAAATCTACAATATTGAAATCCTAATAAATACATTTCTATGTGAAATTATTCAACCATTTTTTAGTATTTC